TAGCGGTTTTAGTATACGTAGATGATATTGTGCTTGCTAGTCCAAGTTCAAATATGATCAATGGAGCCAAAAATATGCTACAGCGACAATTCAAGTTAAAAGACTTAGGAGACCTAAAATTTTTCCTAGGCTTGGAACTCTTAAAATCAAGAGAAGGTATTTACTTATGTCAAAGACACTATACTCTCGCCATTCTTGAAGACTGTGGTATGCTTGCTTGCAAACCTTCTGCTGTTCCAATGGAAGCAAATCTCAAGCTTCATACAGAATCAGGAACCAAACTTCTAAATCCAGGCATATATAGAAGGCTGATTAGGAGATTATCGTATCTAACAATATCTCGACTAGACATCTGTTACGCTGTTCACAAACTGAGTCAATTTGTATCTAATCCTCACTCAGATCACATGAATGCAGTCAACGTGTTACTCAGATATCTTAAAAATACTGCGGGACAAGGTATTCTATTTAAGGCTAATTCTGACACAAGGTTACATGCTTATGTTGATGTAGATTGGGGTTCCTGCATTGATAGTAGAAGGTCAACAACAGGCTTCTGCATTTTCCTAGGCAATTCATTAATTTCATGGAAAGCTAAACGACAGAAAACTGTGAGTCGTTCCTCTGCTGAGGCTGAGTACAGGTCCCTTGCTTCTGTGGCCAGTGAACTTGTTTGGCTGAAAAATCTCTTAACTGACTTCCAAGTTAATACGACACATGCAGCAGTTTATTGTGACAACAAGGCCGCCATTCACATAGCTTTTAATCCAACTTTTCACGAAAAAACAAAACATCTTGAAATTGATCTACATTTTGTGAGAGAACAAGTCTCAAGAGGAATGCTGAAGTTGTTTCATGTTAGAAAGTTTCATCAACTTGCTGATGTGTTTACAAAAGCTTTGCCAAGAAATGTTTTTTTAAGCATTTTGTCCAAGATGGGTGTTGACAACATCTTCCTCCCATCTTGAAGGGGGGGTATTAGATTAGTTAGTCCACTCAGTTATTTTTAGTTAGTTATTTTTAAGTACTAGATATGTAGTTTGTTACAATATAAAGACAGAGGGTATATATATCCTCTTTTTATGCAATCTCAGATACACAGCAGAATCTTCCGATTTCAATTCCTTCATGAAATTGTGATTGTCTTACTTCTAATAAAAACCCATCAAAATAAATTAGGCCCATTTCCTGCTAAATGCTGATGTTAGATTGAGTCGGATAGATTTAAACGATTTGAGTTTAAATTTTGGGTCAATAATTATATTTGGATCTAAATCTAAGAATTACATTATTTTTATTTTTTTTTACTTTTGTACAATTTGACATTTGTTACAATAGAATATATATCATAACTTTTAAATTGGATCTTTATTTTCACGTTGAGCCATACATAATTTTAAATTTAATAGGCACAAAATACTAAATATTAATTATTTAATTTTTTAAAATAAAATAATTGTAAATAGTACAAACCCTTATTCTCGTCCTCTCTTTCACTGTTATGATGTAAGAAATTGCAAATACGCATCACACTTAATTGAACACATCTAGCACACCACTAAGTTAAAAATCCAGTGAATTATAGCTAAGTGATTCTTATTAATTTTATTCTCAGACAAAATCAATTATGTAATACTTTCACCCGATAGAAAATAAGTGATGTCACACTTAAAGTCATTTTTCTGTTAACATATATTAACAGAAAAATGACTTGGAATAAAAATAAAAAAAAACTAAACAAAGGCCTTCTAATGCATTTAAAAAATTATATCTAAATTTTCTCCTTACAAAATTTCTTCGTGAGAATAGTAGCAGAAGGAAACAACTAGTTTTCACTACTATATAAGATAATTTAGTATGAGTTTTCTTAGATATTTACTTATCATCTTGGAGCCATGGAAACAAAAAACCAAACGCAACTATAAGGAGTAATATTTATTTATTGGCTTAATTGTACCTTTTTCTCTCAGTTTTATAATCTCATGAATTTTGTCTCTGAAGAGTTTTACCCTCCAATTTAGAAATTTTCATAAATTATGTCCCTACATTAAAAATTGTGGAGGTCTAAAGGAAAAATTATCACAAAATGTCTTTATTATCGTGAGTTTCTTTATGTGGAGGGCAAAAGTTGAATATTTTATATATTCGGGGAAAATTTATGAAAAAAAATTAATAATTAAAATTGTGAGGTTGGGAAATTTTAAGGACAAAAAAAAATGTAATTAAGTCTTACTTATTTAGTTTTTTCTTTAAAAAAGTTACATGAATCGTCCCTATATTTAAGCTAGAAAATGAATATAAGCCTTGGAATGAATAGAAATCGCTTCAAATTTAACTAAAGAGGGTGGTTTACGTTCAAGTTTATATTTTCACCATGATTAATTATTTGACTCAAATTAATTTTCAATAAGGGTAACAAATAATACTAGACAATCATCTTGGATGAGCTATGAAATTGTGGCAAATGATAAACATGTTGCACTGATCATTCTGGTTATCGGAACCAATCTTACTCAAAATTGTTTCTATATTTCTTCAACAAAATTGGCCAAATTATTCCCAAAACAATATTGGAAGAACAACATATTAAAATTTTATACTAAATCAATACTAGAATTTAGAATATCACATAGTACTTATTAATTGTTCTAAATTATCTACTTCTTAAAGATATTTGTGTAATGTATATGTTATCAGAACGAACTTACTTATACACGTCAATAACAATTTTTCCACCATAATTTTTCTTTGTCAATTGTCATAGTCTCTCAGATGGATCAAAAAGGACAAATACAAAATTTATAAGTCTAATAAGATCTTATTCTAAAAGTGCAACTTAATATTTATTCATCACATATATTAAATTAATTAGATCTCGCATTAAAAATTTAACACACTTGTCTATTGGACTTAACCCTATAATTAGATATACTTACGTGATGATTCTAAAATCCAAAATAGATCACTTAATAAAATTGACTTATAAGAAAAATATATTTAAGGTAACATTCAACCCATTTTAATAAAACAAAACTACACCAATTAAACTAGCTCAAATAAATAAAAATTCTAACATTCTCCTACTTAGGTGATTTTATTTATTTTTAAAGTTCATTTTAAAAATGACTCTTGAGTTGAACTACTATGACTACAAAACAACATGAATATAATCACCATAAAAACATAATCCATGATAGAGACAAATTACTCAAAGTTTGATTTACTAATGACTACATAACTAACAATTTCATTAACATGATCATAACATAAGTGTGAAATATTATATATCATAACATAATTTATGTGATTTTTTCATGCTATTGTGTATGGATCCTTCATCGTGTCTTCTCGAGAAAATACAACCAATCTTCTCAAGAAGATTACTTATCATATTTCTCACGAAAAAAAATTCTCAAAAGGAACTAAAAACATCTCTGAGATAAAGTATATAATATTCATTGCATTAATAATGTAAAAAATGTCATTGTATAATAACATTAAAATTAAAATAACATAAGTTCAATGCAATAAAAATAGACACATCAAATAATTACAACTCCTACTATAATGGGTCAAAAGACCCTTAGGGGATCAACAAAAGACCTTATAATCCTCATATTCTTAACATGTTTCATAAATATAATGGGTCTAGGCCCCTTAGGGGATCAACTAAGCATTGCCTCATTAGGTATATGCTCAACAAAAATCACTCCATTTTCCACCATTTCCAAACAACCAGAAATTTAATTCTTATATGCTTAGATGTTGTAGTAGTGCTATTTTTTTTGGTAAAGAAAACAACAAAATTGTTATAACAAAAAAAAATATTCAATGGCTTAAAAAAGAGAGTTTACAATTCCAAGAACAAAGACAAAATTTCTCAGCCATAAAGCATGTAATCTAGCCCCACAATAGGCAACAAATTCAACTTACATATATATAGTAGAGGAAGTTGTTAAAGTTTGTTTTATATTTTTCCTAGATACAACTCATTCAACCAACATGAAAACATATCCAGAAGTAGATTTCTCATTATTTAGACCACTACAAGAAAAATGTAAATTTTTGATGGAAAATTTCCGACAGATATGGATTCGTCGGAAATTTCTGACAGATTTATATTTTCGTCAGAAATTTCCGACGGAATTTTCCATCAGAAATTTTCTGGCGGAAATTTTTGACAGAAATATAAATCCGTCAGAAATTTCCGACAGAAACTTTCTGACGGAAAATTCTGTCAGAAATTTCTGACGAAAAATAAATCCGTCGAAAATTTTTTCCAGAAAATCTCTGACAGAATACTCAGCATCCAGAAAACGGCGGGAAAGGGCCAGCCATAATAATACTAAGCATTCAGTAGGCAGCCTAGAGAGGCCAGACATAATAATACTCAGCATTCAACAGGCAGCCTAGAGAGGCCAGACATAATAATACTCAGCATTCAGCAAGCAGCCTAGAGAGGCCAGCCATAATAATACT